TAAAGTCGATCTTCATCCCTGCGGTCTCCTACGAGTAGTCGGCCATGACTGAAAACCTTTAATCCCAAGTACAATTGGCTGAAATGACTAGGATTTCTGAGACGAACGGTTGGTCTTACGCGTCATGACGTGATTAAGAATGCAAAAATCCAACAGAGTTTTGGTGATGAAGAGGTGATAGCTGCCACAGTCTGGGCATGCGTTGTAAAAGCCGCCAGAAAGGAAAGCGAAGAAACTATTTCTTGTCCAGCTGACCGGCAGAAGGCCCAGGGAGACGGCCAAGACACAGTCTGACGCGTCTTATTTCCTCGAAGATGAAGAAGATTACAGTATCCAATTTGCTCACTTCTGACCGAAGACAGTTGAGAGAACACAAAAAATTAATTCAATAATTGCACACTAGCCCCTACTGAAGTTCAAAAGTAAGCAGGTATCCTGAGAGTTGATCTAACTACCGCTTTTGAGGTAAAGATCCAGGGTCGTTTCATGGATATCACCGTCATAGTTGTGTGGAATTTTCTTTGAGAAACAATGCGAGATTTGATAACCGTTTCATGCTCTGCCTCCTCGGGTCACTTCGGGTTCTTCATGGCAGAAGAGAAGTTAATTTGAGATTGGTCCAAAGTCCTCTTGCACCCTGTTTGTATAATCGGCGCTGTTCATTTTCAGGCACTCTTTCTCAACCGAATAATTATGATACGGAAAATCACTTGTGTAAAATCTAACAAATTGCTGAATTTTACTTTTGCACCAACCTTTATGGTCAAGAACAGATTCGTTCGGCTTTGGAGCAAACCAGCAGCAGTGTTTACCGACCAAACTAATCATCGACACAGCAGCAGAGTTATGCCAATAAAAGATTGTGCAAAATTATTGCTTCATCATACTTCCGATCGATAGAAAATTGAATTCGTTTCTTGCAACTTCCAGCCATTATCGATCTTCTTAGGTAAAACGTCTGTCTTTATTACGACTGAAGAAAAGTTTCGATGTCAGGTCGAAAGACACGTTTTCTGCAGCCCCCATGTCCGCAGATTATAATAATCCATTTCTCTGGCGATATTTATACGTATTGCCAATTAATAACGCGCCATACTTGGCATGACGATTGATTACAATAGATTCAACTTAACGGGACGATGCACGTATTCGGTGTGACTCAATCAAGTCAGCCCGGCGGTCACTCAATGGCAAGATAACGATGAGGTAAGCAGACATCACATGGCATGCGATAAGACGACCGTGCCTATTTTTTTACACCGATGGCTGTGATCTGATTACCTCTACTTATTTTACGTGTGTGATAAAACATATTCAGCGATTTGCAGAGTCTAACTGTCCGGTTTCTCTGTCCGCTGCATTCGTAGTTTCTTCCACAAGTCACCGGTTACTGAATCGTAGAAGAAAATTAACACATTCACCCTCATGCAAAGCAGATATTCTTCCACCTTATTCCTCGATGTTTTGCATGACGGTTTTCTGTTTGATCTCTGAAGGTTTCCGCTGATACCTCGATAATTAGACTAAATGGTTTATGTTGAATTAGAGTGATTTTTTGCTCCATCTGAGGGAACCCGTGTCCACGGATGAATAGACTTATTCCGCATTGGATCCTGCCACGTAGCCCCCGTTATGCTTCAAAGCCAATGCTGTCCAATTATCGCCATTGGTTCTTCGTTGGAACGAAGGTCTCAATGCTGTCCAGCATAGGAGGAAAAGGGATACACACTCCTGTCCGAGGCACGATGTTGGTTTGGTTCCCAAAAGCACAACAGCAAGGTCGATCGTTTCACTTAATGCTGATTGGATGGTGCTGTGACTGAGAATGATCGATCCTGGGTTCAAATACGTGCCAAAATCCTCCACCGTTTTACCTCTCCTGTTCATTTTATGGAATTGTGTAGGAATCGATAGATTCCTCATAACATTGACTTGCGAGTTTTAAGGCACAGGTAGGCTTTCGGCGCTATCTAGCATGTAGATGTCTTCAGATGAGGTATGGAGGTCTTCACGTACTACTCCCGTAGACGACACTATTTTCCTGCGCATTCCAGGTATGTAAGACATCTAAT